ATCTTATTTTAAAAGAAATAATGTTGATTTACTTTTTCCTAGTTGAAGGTAGTAATTAGGTTTATAAACTGTATACTGTGTTTATTGGTGGCAGTGACACCAAAGATAGAGGCAGTGGATAGAAATTTGTAAACTGGAAAGAAACCATAAATAACACTACATTCTCAAAGTCTCTTGTAATTATTTAGGATATTAAAAAATTGATTCATTTGCCTTATCTCACTACTAGTCTTTTAAATATGTCTTTAACGCATTGTATCCCTTAATTCTTCATTAAAATGGATATTAGCAGATGTTTCAAAGTAATCAATATTCCTGACTTTGCTTAACAGTTTGCATGTTTATTCTTATCTTTCAAACTGGGTTATGGGTTTGTTCTCTCTTTATGAAGTTCTAATAGAATTATATTGGCTTCCTATTCAGGGGTTTTTCAATGAACGCTTTTTTTTTAATCTACATGAAATATGTTTACAACTGACATTTTAATCTTCTTAAATAGTTACAATTTTCTTGGTTGTGCTATACTATTATTTAACACTATTATTTAAACAACTGAAAAATTGAGCTCAGCATCATATTAAATGAGTTGATTTAACAAATTTCATACCATAAATGAAAATTTAATTTGTATTTTCTAAGACTATTATAATCAGATAACTTGTTTCTTTCCCTTTGGACAAATGATTCCATCTTTGGCAAGAAAACTTAATGGTGATCTAATTATAGTTTCAAATATAAAGCACTGTCTTCAACGTAAGTGTTTTACCTGGTGTTGTGTTTTCTTGACTTTAGAATATGTTGCCCTCAAATAGAAATTTTAAAATTTGAATTCAACCTTTAGGTTAAAAAAATTATTATATTGTTTTTTGATCGGCATTGTCAAATCATAATCTTTATTTCATTTTGAATATTCTAGTTTAACTGATATACTTTCCCCTATCATACTATATTTTTCTTTGTCTTTTGATAAATTTCTGTTTACCAATGGCAAATGTATCATTTCCCCATTTTATTTTGATATTCTTCACGCTGTAAGATCAATTACGTATTCTCTTATTTGCTTTTTTGCCCTGTAAAAGTCAAAAGAATGGTAAAATGAAAAAGAAGGCCCTTATTACAATGTGTACCTATTATATTAGTGTGCTTATAAAGGTTTTAACGATGAATACTTAAAACTGACACATCAGTTTGTGCTTTTAATACCAGATGGAAAAATTCCAATGACAAGGAACCACTGGGTTTTCTTCTTTTTGATGACATGGCAAGGGCAGAAATAGGAAAGGACCAGTTAGCACAGTGATTTGTTCTGAAACTAGTGTACGAGCTGTACTTAAAAATATATTTCTTTAAAATATGACAGTCTTTTTTTTAAAGGAATGCAATTATTTATAAAATGAACTAATTAAAATGTGAATTTCTGTGAAGCAAGTTTGACGTCTTAGTTTATTTTCTTTGTAAAGTTTGAGTGTGTATCTTCTATAAACCAGTGACATCTAGTTGGAAATATTCAAGTTCATTTACTATCTAGCATAAATAGCCAACAAACCCCATGGATGTCATAACAGAGCAATGCCCTTAGCTTAGGAGCAATGCTGTGATTTGACAGTCGTTTCTAATTCTGTGGTCCTCTTCCACTGTTACCTGTCTCTCCTCAGCGAGGGATCTTTTTATGTGCCTAGACATTTCCTTCTTTTTATTAAAAATTTCTGGAGCTTTGTTTCTATACCTCTTAATTTTTGTATTTAAAATACTTACTCGACAACTAATATTATTTTTGATATAGCTTTCATATATGTCATATATAAAGATAATTCAACTTGAGAATATCTTTAGTCCAAAGCTTCAAGTTAATGTAAGACACATTATTGCCCTGTTCATGATAAACTATGAACTATAGTTTAAAATTTTCACTCTTGTATCATTTTCGTGTGTGTTTTTTTTAATTCTTTGGGTGATTAACTGCTTATACCCCTTTGAATAAAATATATAGGAGAAACTTACCTAAATCTTAAAGGCCTATGACATACTCCTATAAGTATGTCATCTTTTATTTTAGAATCATGACTTGATTAAATGTTCTTGTCAAGTATCTAGATTATTTTCTATCCTATATGTAATGACATATGCCTCCTGCTTTTTAAGCAAAGCTGCCTGAGTTTTATATATATTTTCTTAGTATGATCTTTCTTTAAAATTACAAAACTTAGTAAATTTTTTCTGAAGCTTTCCTAGCTTCCACAGTATATTTTTTCTTATGATGTTCTAGAGCATTTTAAATCTCAATATTTAAAATCTTGAGGCACATGCAAGATTTAAAATCTATTTGAATATTTAAAATATATTTCCTTGCTGAACAAAATACAACATTTTATTGGCAATAACTTGTGGTCATACTGAATTTAGATGATTTTCAGGTTCTAGCTTATGCTTATACTTCCCACTACCATTATTGTCTGTTTGCTGCTGCTTCTTTTTTTATATATATATTTTATTGATTTTTTACAGAGAGGAAGGGAGAGGGATAGAGAGTTAGAAACATCGATGAGAGAGAAGCATCGATCAGCTGCCTCCTGCACACTCCCTACTGGGGATGTGCCCGCAGCCAAGGTACATGCCCTTGGCTGGAATCGAACCGAGGACCCTCCAGTCCCCAGGCCGACGCTCTATCCAGGGAGCCAAACCAGCCAGGGCTGTTTGCTGCTTCTTATAGATGCAGAGAATCTCTGATAAGGATTACATATTAAATTAATAAGAATCAACAAACTCCTGAACAAAAGCAAAAAGTACTGGTTTTAATGATCTTTTGGTGATCAGAGACTCTTAAAAAAATCATGTTAATTTTTTTTTCAAACAAGTTTATTTAAACAACATGACACTTGACTTGAAGGGAAAAGTAGGATTAATTTTTTAGAGTAATTTATCCCTACTTAAAGACAGATTGCCCTACATTTAACAGCTACATACAAAAAGTTATAAAATTGTTTGTGGTTTTAACAATGATAAATGAAAAGAATTAAAATTCTCCAATCAAACCAGGTATGCAAGAATTTTTATGATGTTTCTTTTGTTAAACTGAGAGCAAGATAACTTGCTGTAATATAAAGATAAGAGCTGAATGATCATGCCACTAATGGAGAAAGGGGGTGTTTCACAGAACCAGTATTTTTCCCATCCCATCCCCATTTGATGTCTCAAAACATACCATTGCCCATCTAGTTAAAAAAAATGCAAATGCTTGTGCATGTACATCAGTTACTTTATGTACGATACAGGAATGGGAAAAGGGAAAATGAAAGAATAGAGAAAACTATACTCTAGCAGTCAGAAGTGTTGAAACCAAATTGCAGTTTTCTAATTGAGAATGTCTTCTTGGTCTGGAGGCACAGAGTTTTGGAGTAAAATAGGTTCCTTTTTAGTAGACCCCCTCCTGTCTGCTGCTGGAACACATCAATTGTATCTTCTTCCTCCATTTCCAACTGTGCAGGTGTGTCTGTTTCATTGATTGGCTGCCCGTCAAATGGGAATCTGACCTGCCTCATGACAAACCCTGTCGTTCTCAATAGGCTTTCCTTAGTTTCCTAGGTGTTGCATGCCTCTTAATTTAAACTGCACCACAGAACGAACCACCCTGAGGATAAATTTTCATTGATTTCCAGAGAAGAGAGTAAGGGACAAGGAGAAAGCAACATTGACTGGTTGCCTCTTGCATGTGCCTCAACTGGGGATTGAACCCACAACCTTTTGATGCACGGGATGATGCTGCAACCACCTGAGACACCTGGTCAAGGCAGACAACTGGGTTTTAACCCAGATATATGTTTTGTCAAAAAAATATCTTGCTGCCAAAGCCGGTTTGGCTCAGTGGATAGAGCGTTGGCCTGCGGACTGAAAGGTCCCGGGTTCGATTCCGGTCAAGGGCATGTACCTGGGTTGCGGGCACATCCCCAGTAGGAGGTGTGCAGGAGGCAGCTGATCGATGTTTCTCTCTCATCGATGTTTCTAATTCTCTATCTCTCTCCCTTCCTCTCTGTAAAAAAATCAATAAAATATATTTAAAAAAATATCTTGCTAATGTATGATCTTGGGCAGGTCCATCAATTTCAGTAGAATGGGCCTTCTACTTATTTATAAACTGATGTCAGTGTAACTACATGATCTTTCGTAGCTTGCAGAAATTCTGTGCTTCAGATCCTCTGTCTCTGTGTACCATCAATATCCGTGTTGTTCAGCCTGAATAGCTGACTGATGCCACTGAACTTACTCTTGTAGCTTAGAGGAGGAAAAGGCATGGGAATGGGGTTGAGGACTCTGGGACTGAAACTTGTGATTTCTAGCCAACCTCCTATAAGTAACCTAGAGGTAGTTTATTTTCAATAGTAAACTCTCGAGCCTTTTGTTTAGGTTTGATCCTACCAGGAACATCTGCATTTAAGGTACAAATGCAAATTTGATAATGCTTTCACTTTCTTGGTGCTGATTTGGGAGAAAAATAATTACAGCTCTGAAGCTGTAATGTTTTTGTATATTGCTTCAAGCTAAAGGAAGTAGGCAGCATCAGACTATGTGAAATTTTATTGTTCTTGATTTCTTGCAGGCAAAGAAGTACTCTTGGTCTTATTGATAATGGTGATAGAGGCACCATACTACAGCCAGCCACAGTTTTCTGCTTAAGTGCAGATTGCCTGAGGTGTTAGAAAACTGTGGAACCAGCAGTTTCCACCTTTGGTACTGGCTATGAGAGTCTTTCTGTAATATTCCAAAGAAGGTGCAAAGTCAGCATTGGCATATTTTTCATCACAAATATTTGGCTTAGAAAAAATGCCATTAAATGTTGGCT